GAGGGCCTTTGTGGGCGGAGAAGGCGAATGCTTGAGCGCTGGAACTCGAGCGAGAGAGAATGGATGAGCAGAGGAAGAAGAAGGCGTGGATGAAAAAGGGGAGTCCTTATCTCCTTATAAAGGCTGCAGGGATCCTGTGCCTCCCCACTTGTCCTGGAAACTCGCTTATTCCCCAAGCACCATGTTGATGGCGCGGTTGGGTTACCCACACCCGTATTGATGAGAATCCCGTGATAAGGGGACACGATCTCTGCTTCGGCAAGACGTGCCAATAAAACCGCCTCGCAATATGTGTAGTAGCAGGTTGAGAAAAATGGTTCGAATAATGACCGGGCCGCAGCGTGATGTCACGCTATGAAAAAAATTGCCAGCAGCTTAGACTCGTGGAATATTGTACTCTCTACGGTGGTATCTGGAATTTGTTTTGCAGAGCCGGAAACGATTCTTGTGTTCAAGATCTATTTTGGAGTATTCGAAGCAGGAACCCGCCTCGCAATGCCGAAGACAATCTGCGCGCCGGACTCATCATCGTTGAAGCCTGGTTTAGGGGCTACTGAGGTAGTCCTAGATTAAGGGGTCCTCGGACAGTTGGACTATATGCTTATGCTAGAGTGTTGGACTATGAAGATACAAGATTGAAGACTTCATCCCGTGTCCGGGTGGGACTCTCCTTTGCGTGGAAGGCAAACTTGGCGATTCGGATATGTAGATTTCCTTCTCTGTAACCGACTCTATGTAACCCTAGTCCCCTCCGGTGTCTATATAAACCGGAGGAATTAGTCCGTAGGACAACAACAATCATAATCATAGGCTAGCTTCTAGGGTTAGCCTCTACGATCTCGTGGTAGATCAACTCTTGTAATACTCATATCATCAAGATCAATCAAGCAGGAAGTAGGGTATTACCTCCATGGAGAGGGCCCGGACCTAGGTAAACATCGTGTCCCCCGCCTCCTATTACCATTAGCCTTAGACGCACAGTTCGGGACTCCTACCCAAGATCTGCCGGTTTTGACATCGACAGCGACGACCAAGCAAGTAGTGAGAAAATCAGTTCAGATGGATTTTCTTGAGGGCTTAGATGCATTTCTAAGTTTTCTCTGTAAAAATAAGGACAAATGTCCTAGATCTGGATATTTATATTGTACCTGCTTTTCTTAAGTAATACAATCAAGATTTTTCGCGGAAAAAATGGTGGGGCATCATCTTCCTCTTTTTATACCACTGCCTCTCCTCTAAGGCGCATCGTTCCTACCTCTGACGAGGTCCTGGCAAGGTCTCATCAACCTTCATCCTTGTCTTCAACGAGGTCCTAGCTTTGTCTTGCCGAAGTTGCCGCGATCGGACACGCCGTCCATGTCTCAGGTTATATTTTTAAACATTTGAGGATTAGAAAATCCGGAATTTATATGGAGCAAACTTTTGGATCATGGTGCCGTCTGATTTGTCGCCGCTCTATATGACATAAACACAACTTATTTGCAGTTCATGTGTGCCATGTCATGGTCTCGGTAAATTGCACACTGCTAGTGCAATTGTGGTTCACTTTGTAGATTCTGTTGTTGAATTTCGATTGGTAGAATTATGGTGATTATAACAGAAATTCAACTACCACACACTTTTACCGAAATTTAAGAGACACGAGCAATGAGAAATGCCTTCCAGACATGGTTAGACATGCTCGTGATTAGGGCTGCAAGAAAAGCTCGAGGCTCGTGAGCCACTCGAGATCGACTCGTATTTTAGCTCGACTCGAGATCGACTCGAAAACAAATGAGGTGAGTATGAACACTTTATGTAGCTCGATCAAGAAACGAGCCGATCTTGAGCCAGTATTGGCTCGCTCGATTTTAGCTCGATAGCTCGATATCACATAAATATATTAAATAACCTTCATAACTATTGCCAAGAATTAGGATCATTCATTTCCATATATGTTATGTATTATTTTTTTCTTCACTTTACCTACTAGCAAACATGAAAATTAAGCATGAAGAAAATTTATTCTCATCACGTGGCCAACCTTGTGTTCAATATTTCATTAGTTTGGTCAAAGTTTGAGAGTTGGCGCACCTTCGCCGTCTTCTATCCATGATTCCTTGTTACTAAATACTAGTCTTCACTTGAGAAAGAATAAGTCGAATTTATTGTGATTTTTTTGTTCTGTTGTGGCCCATCTTGCTTTAAAATTTTTCTTAAAATGATTTTAAAATCATCTTATTTAGCTCGAAACTAGCTCGAGATCGACTCGAGATCGTTACAAGCTGAGCACGAGCCACTTTCTGCAGCTCAACCTTGAGCTTCACACATTTTGAGCTCGCTCGAATTTTAGTATAAGTTGAGCTGAGTCTAGGCTAACTCGCTCGAACTCGACTCGTTTGCAGCCCAGTCGTGATCAACCTTGATACACTAGGGACCGCGGAGACGGGATAGGCCAAAAGCCCACCATACGACTTTCCATCCGTCTCTCTTTATCGGTGGGCACTCGCGTATTTCTTTTTTCCCCTGCTCATGTGTCAAGATCTCAAAAATATTGAAAGTTCAAAAATTTACAAGTTTACATTTTGGGAAGTTCAAGGTTTAGGAATTCAACTTTGCGAACGCTGCAATTTCTTGAAATTACAAAAGATTCAAAATATATGTTTTTCCTAATTTATAATAGTTGAAAATCCTAAAAGTTTGATCAAAAAGTTCAAATTGATTTTTCTAAAATTCGGCACACATATTTTTTTCTAAAAGTCGGTACATGCTTTAACACAATTTGCAAGAAAATGGAACTTTCCGAAATTGGAAAGTGCATATCATACATAACTTCCTCAAAATGGAAAGTTTGGTATGTCTTATTGACCCTGGTGGTGTTGGCGTAAGAGCAAGTTTAGCAGTTGCCCTACAATTTCTTCCCTATATTTCAAAACCAGGGATTCTCCTAAAAAGATTCTTCCCTGAAAGTTGCTCAACTCCAGCAGTTTCCCTAAATATCTAACTTATTCTATATTTTACTAATATTACATCACTACCAACGACTAGTATTCAGCTATATATGTACATGATCACCCCTCATATCTCTCATAATCCTGATTCTGCCTCCTCTCCTACTTCTCTTTCACCATATCTCTACAACGAAATGAGTCACCGTCGAAGCTTGGCCCGACAATTTTACGAAGATTCCTCCTCCGAAGATGAGGAACTCATGATGGCTGCAATCGTAGCAGAGGAAGAACAAGCCCAGTTGGATGCTCCACGACATGGAGGTTCACAACCAAAACGTCAATCTCTTCAGTGCGATTTTGCGGGATGCTTCCAGAACCTCCACAAGGGCTAACTGTACCATCACCACAAAGATGTTTCATAACATGTATGAAACTGGTGCATTTGTTTTTTTTCACCATAGTAGTCGCTCTTCATGTCTCGTTTAAGTTTTTCATCACGGATATAGAATGCATGGTCCTCCTTTTCTGCGCATAGCACAAATGCTATAGAGGCATATGATAGCTATTTTCCCCGAGAAGAAATGGTGCTGGTGTTCTTTGTTTACATCCTTATCAAAAATTGACCTGAGAGCATCTCCAACAGCCGCGCTATATACGCGCCGTGCTGAAAAAGTAGTGCTTTTAGCATGCGCGCTACCGTTTCGGGTGCTCCAGCGGATGCGCAAAAACCGCGTGCGCGGCATATGTAATTCAGTGTGCGGGCAGAAATGCCATCGCGCGCCGCTTATTTGCTGCGCCCGCTCCCGCGCGCTGGACTCTCGAGCGCTCGCGCGCAACTCCACCTACCCATTCAGCCGCGCCGCCGCCGTCGCCCGCGCCACCCCATTTTTTCGGCAACCGTTCCGGCGCTTCGCCGGTCTCTCCCCGCGCGACCGCGGCTTCCTCCGTCTCCCTCTAGTCAGCGCCGCCCGTCATAATGCACGCTTGTGTGATCATGCACAACATGATCATCGAGAATGAGCGTGGCCAAGATATAGACTACTCTCACTATGAGCTCTTGGGACATCTCGTGCGAGTGAGGCGGAGGGCTGAAAGGGTGGCCCATTTTGTTGCCTCCTATCATGCCATTCGACGTCCGGCAGTGCATAATGAACTCAAGAAGGATCTCAGTGGGCTTGGAATGGCCGCCAAAGAGCATCATGATTTGTGTGTTTGATGTTGTATTGTTGAACTATTTGTTGTATTTCATGAAAGATACTATTTAAGTATTTATTTGAGTTGTAATAATAAATTGAACTATTTATTTTAAACTTGGTTGAATGATGTTTGTAATTTAAATTATATGCCATGTCTTTGTTTTGTGGACGTGTGAAATTTATTTTGTGTCCAAAATGCAACAAATGTGATGCACCGACTGCTCGCGCGCGCTCCATTTCAGTGCGGCTGCTGGAGCCAGCGCTGCGCGCCGCGCCAAACCTGGCGATGGGCTCGCCGCAAATCAGATTTTAGCGCGCCGCGCGTTGGGCGCCTGTTGGAGATGCTCTCAGTATTTCGAATCCTAGCTTATGGGATATCAACTGATTTTACTGATGAGTACTGTCGGCTAGCTAAGTCCACCGCTTTAGATAATACTAGAAAATTTGTCGAGGTCTTTGACGGTCAGTATTTGAGATCTCCAAATGATGAAGATGCTACTAGATTGCTTGCAATAGGAGAGCAAAGTTGATTTCCGGGTATGCTCGAAAGCATGGACTGCATATGCATTGGAACTGAAAAAATTGCTCTACTGCACATAAAAGTTTTTTTTGTTGGCCATAACTGTGTACCCACAGTCATTCTTGAAGCCATTGCTTCACAAGACCTAAGAAAACATCTCACAAGAGAAAATAGCCGTAACAAAACATTGGTTGTTTATTAGCATTTCCTAAATTCTACTACTAGCTAAACTTATTACAACTTCCCTTGAGGCGCATGCTCTCGTTTGATGCATGCGCGCGCTACCATAATTGACACATCTGCTTTGATACACATATACGGACGTCCTCGGTCGCATTGCCGCGCCCGCGCGCATCAGCACTGCGCCGGAGCGAATGACAGGGTCTCCGCCTCCAAATCGTAGAGCACGCGCATGTCCTGCTGCACGAAGTTGCCGATCGTGGAGCCCGAGTCCCCGGAGTCGGCCAGGAGGATGCACAAGCTCCCCCTCCTCGGGTCGTCCAGCACGTAGTTCCGGCGCGGCAGCTCGAGGTCCGCGCCCTGGAAGTGGAACACCATCCTCGGCACCGCCACCACCGCCCTCGCGGCCGACGCGCGCCTCCCCCCGCCTGTGGCCATCGGCGTCGCGAAGCAGACGCCGTCGTCCGGGCTGCTGCTGTTCGCGAACGGCAGCCTCAGCTGCGCGCGGAACGCCCTCAGCACCTCCGCGAGCACGGCCCCCGGGAACAGCGTGAGCGCCGTGCCCGAGTCGACGATCACCCCTCCGGAGCCGTCGGGCCTCAGGGAGAACGCCGAGGGCGGTATCCGCAGCCGCCGAGTGCCGACCGTCACGCCGGTGAACGGGACGTAGTAGAAGGTCGGGTTCTGGCGGCTCTGCAGGAGCCTCGTGGTCTGGACTTGGCCGGTGGCGGCGTCGTCGCCGTCGAAGACGCCGTCGGAGAGGGACCCGAACAGGAGGGTGCTCTTCCTGGTGCTTGTGTAGGGCGTGAGGCAGTAGGAGAAGCGCCGGATGGACATCTGGGACACGAGCGAGAGCGGGTCCCGGCCGAAGCCGACGATGCCGGAGCCGTTGTTCAGGCTGCCGACGTTCATGGTGCCGCAGCCGAACCCGAGCGGGACGCTGAGCTTCTCCCCGGACGACGACGCGAAGGTGAAGTGGTCGGTGGCGTAGACGCCCAGCGTGGTCGTCCCGTCGCCGTAGTTGTAGCGGTAGGTGCAGGTGTCCGGCCTCTGGCAGCTGTGGTGCAGGATGTCGTTGCAGAGCTGGCCGGAGCACCGCATGGGCACGTACGACGACGACGCGGCCGGGGTGAAGAGCGGGTCCGGCTGCGCGAGGCAGCTCGCGCACGGCGCGCACTGCGTCCAGATGAGGTCGCTGCCGGTGTCCAGCAGCGCCGACACGGGCTGCGGCGGCGTGCCGATGGCGAGGTCGATGAGGTACTCGAGGTCGCCGGAAGGGCGGACCGGCACGCCAGGCTGCTGCTGCCCCTCCTGCTGCGCGCTCTTGCCGGCGACGCGGCCGCCGCCGCTCCTCGCCACGGACAGCGCCGCCGCCCTCGCCTTGCTGCGCTGCATGGCGCGCCTGATCAGCTCGCGCCTGGACATCTGCTTCCCGGCGTCCACGTGCGTCAGGTGGACGCGGACGTCCCCGGCGAAGGCCTCGGCCGTGTCCGGCGGCGTAGAGGCGTACAGCGACGCGGCGAGGAGCAACGGCACGGCCAGCGCCACCAATGCCTGCTTCATGCTGCCCTCCACGATCAAGCCAGCTCCCGAACGAATTGGAATATCTAGTTCGCGCGGCAAGACGTCGCATATATATCCACGCACGAACGTTCCATTTATTCCTGCACCGCTCGGACGCAAACACGCATCGAACGCATGAAAGTAACCCCGGCAGGGCCAAGACGATGATGGTCCGGGCGGCTTTAGAAAATTCTCTTGTCAATGGTGGACGAAGCACCAAAGTCGGGGAATGCTCTTGGCCCCGGGCCGGGCATCACCGATCGATCGCTCGGTGTGTGGAGCCGAGCGAGGGAGAGTTTGGCGACCTGTACCTCATCGACCGCAGGCACCACTAAGATCACGGCTAAAATTCTTGATGTGACCACCGAACTTAGCGGGGAACTCTGCATAGATAAGGTTGCTGGTGAGAGATGCTCGGGCCCTAGCAATGCGCGCCGCCGGATTCCTGCAAGAAGAGACCAGATATTCGATGTCCGGATCTAATTCGAACCTAATCTGGGCTTCCAGGAAGGAATGGAGCGCGCAAGAAATCCAATTGACAGCATGTCTCTCCGCCGTGTCGGGCTACCACTTCCTGTGATGGTGCATTATGCTTGGCTTGCGGCCTACTGAACTAAGGCATTAGACAAAGCATATGTGTGGGTATGGCCGTATGGGTAGTGCCCGGGTTCCATCAGCTCGCCACGGAGTGGATTATGCCTTACCCTCTGCATAGTGGAATGTTGGCTGGTGTGACGTTGATGCAAGTTGAATGAGGGTGCGGTACACGACTGCATAGGTCGAGGATGAAACCGGCCATCAGCATCAGCTAGCCATCATCTTCCCACTACTTTCAGCTTATTAATCCGTCCCAGTGCTCCATCCTATGTTTATGTGTGATCTTCACACAACTTTCAGCTCAAGGGGGGTTGGCGGAGACTTCCCGCCCCGTATCGCCGCGTTTGGCGACACGAGGAAACCCTTGACCGCCGCCGGGAGCCCTCCTCCACCACGGCCGCATAGTATCGCGGCCACCACCCGGCCGACGAAGCCATGCTACGCCCGGGGATGGCGGCGGCAGGGCGGCTTCGTCTCCCTCACGCCAAACCCCAATACCTCCCAGATTTGATATGGTGCACCGCGGGTGGCTCCTCCAACTATTGCATCCTTCATTGTCGGTCCGGCGTGGTAACGCGGCCATGCCCGTGGGTGCTTCTCCTGCGTCGACGCAACTTCCTCTTTGCGTTGCTGCTCGTGGGGGCCGCACGAGGCCCTTGCGAGGAGGTGGCCGAGGCTCGGTCCTGCCCGGTGCAGGGCGCCCTCTGTCTTCGACGACGCCTCCTCCAAGCTGCAGCAACAACTTTTGCGGGTGTTTGGTCACGGTGGTTCCTCTTGGTATATGGTTGAAGCTTCGTGGTGGATTCTTGCCGGCACTGCTCCGGTCACGGCGGCCATGAACATGCATTCTCCAGTCGTCCATGGCTTGATGGTGTTCCCTGCCAGTGTGGTTTTTGGCCTTGGCCTTCCAGTTGTTGGACCCCCTCTGACATCTCATAACTGTGTCCCCTTCCGGTTCTTGGCTAGTCGGTGGCGTCGATCGCCATCCCCCCTCGTCGGCTCTCTACCCTGCTACCTCCCTAACCTTGTTCACCTACACGCTATGTCGGTTCTAGAGCTCGTGTTTTCGGTGACGGAAGGTGCAACCCGACCTCCCCCTTCTGAGGGGGCGGTTGAACCGCATGCTGACTTCCTAATCTTCGGATCCTGATCTGGCGGCTGCGGGATTGCTCAGATTGTGGTCTGCATCGGCGGCATCTAGAAAATGGTCGATCGTGTGCTGGGTTCGTGGTTCGTGGATGGCAGGTATGGTTTTCTCCTCCTACGTTTTTGTCGTGTGGGGGTGACGGATCTGGAGTTCGATGGCGTGTCCGGGGTGTTGCCCCGGTCTAATTCATTTAATGGTAATGATTTCGCTTTTGGTGAACCACCTTGGAGGTCCGCAAATCTGCATATCAGTGATGGAGCCGCTTCGAGCTCAGGTGTGAAGGTGATTCCTCATTGTTTCCTTTGGTGGCTGCTATGGTGGTCCCAGAGCCTGTGACGGGCATTGGTGTCAAGTTCAAAGGTTTCTTCAGTCTTAATTGTGATTTTACTTCTTGGTTGTTGTTCCTTTGTGCAAAGGCTAGCGTTTTGCTATTTTTCAGTTTTGCCAGGTCGGTTTGTACATGCCTCATACTATGATCCTTATGATATAAATAAGACACGTATTACCATGAAAAAAACATGAGTCACGGAATTAATTCAAACGAAACAGTATAAATTATAGACAAGAAATGCGCTGGCCCAGCCCAGCCCAATAGCCTAAGCTGGAGACTAGGCTCGTGAGTCGTGATCGTTTCATTCCGATCCACTGGAGGGGGCAACAACGCCAGCATACCCTATTTGCCGCTCTTTGCGGCAAGTTGTCGCTGTTTCGCACAAGGATCCAACTATCGTTCCAGAGTGGACCGGCCTTCAGGGATACCGTTTTTGGGAACCTTCTATGATGTTTTCAGCCGGTTTATTCCGGTTTTGGGAACTTTCTAGTAGGTTCCTGAAACCAGTTTTTTCTTTTTTCTATTTCTCTTCTTTTTATTTTTTTATTCTTGCACCTTTTATTCTTTTCTATTTCAAAATTATTTTAAATTCCAAAAAATGTTTTCTTCCAAAATTCCAAAAAACTAGTAATTCAAACTTTGTTCGCTTCAATAGAAAAAATGTTCGGAATTCTAAAAATTTTAAAATTTCAAATTTTATTCGCTTCTTTAATTGTTTCCTAAAATTCATAAAAATTTAGAATTTCAAAAAGTCCGAATTTTAATTTTTATTCACAAAATAAAAAGTATTCAAGAACTTCAATACCGTTTTTGAATTCTGTTCGCATATTAAAGAATATTCATAATTCAAAATTTGTCACAAATTCAAAAATTGTTTGTATTTTGAAATTTTGTTCACAAATTAAGAAATATTTGAACTTAAAAAATGTTCCTATTATCCAAAATTGTTCACAATTTCAGCAAATGGTACCGTTTGGGAAACAAATTTCTCAACTTTAAAAAAATGTCACGCTGGAAAATTTGCAAATGCAAAAAATGTGCACGGGAATTTCAAAAAAGTTTTGTGTTTTGGTAAAAGTTGTTCGTAATTTTAAAACATGTTCACATTTTAATTTTTTTTATAGTTTTTCAAGAAATGTTTGTGTTTTCAAAAAATTGTTCAGAATCTCGAAAAAGTTCTCCTATTCAATTTTCTTCCTTTTTTCCATAAAAATAATGAGTTTACCAAATAATGTTTGTGTTTCAAAAAATTAGTTTCAAAATTTTAGAAAAGATCAAATCTTCAGCGGCTTATGGTATCTTTTCCATAATTTTCACAACTTTTCAGAAAATGTTCAGAATTTCAAAATTTTGTTTGCATTTTATCTGTTTATTCACAAATTCACAAAATGATCGCGTATTCTAAGAAAGTTCTAACTTTCAAAATACGTTCAAAAATTTGAAAAAAAATCATGTTTTTGAAATTAGTTCTCAAAGTCAAAATATGTTTGAGGAATTTGAATAAATGTTCTCATTTCTAATATTTGTCATAAATTCGAAAAATGTTCTCTAATTTCAAAAAATATTCCAGCTTGTCCATTTTTGTTCACTTATTCAAAAAATGTTCATGTATTTCGAACCTTTGAAAAAGAATCGTTTTGAACCAATTGTTCGTAATTCCAAAAAAATGTTCGTGTTTTGAAAAAAATGTTCGTATTTTCGATAAATATTTGCATTTTCAAATTTTGTTCACAACTTCAGAAAATATTCAGGTAATTCAAATCATGTTCCAACTTTTCCCCAAAAAATTAGATATTCAAATCTATATGCTGCAGTACACGTACTGAAAATAACATACAATGGAAATATACCACAACAGGGAGTTCTTAAATAAAATCGCAATGCATCATCGTGCAGATATAGCCTTTCAGTCTGGTGGTTAGCAGCACTTGTTGAGTATAGGGGCGTCTTAGGTTCGATACCTCGTGCCGTCATTTCCGGTTATGCAATTTTTTACCTCTGTATTCACACCTCGGGGTCCTTATAGTGGGCCGGTCCAGTCGGTCGCCTCCGTCATGCTGGCTATTCGCCGCAAAATGCGGCACGTAGGACCACCCAAGAATGCCGTCCTGAAGGGGATGGCGGCGGATGAGGAGGCTGCCGCACCCGCACCCAAAAGGGGCGCATCCAATGAAGCGGCTGGGCCCAGGAATAGAAACAGGCGCGTGATAGCGTTTGCGACGGCAACGTCATCAGTCACGGTGATCTCATCAGCGGCCTTCCTAACGCCATCCTTGGAACCATCATCTTCCTCCTCTATGAAGGTAATACCCTACTTCCTGCTTGATTGATCGAGGAGGCTAAACCTAGAAGCTAACCTATGATTATGATTGTTGTTCTTGTTCTATGGACTAATCCCTCCGGTTTATATAGACACCGGAGGGGGTTAGGGTTACACAGAGTCGGTTTACAGAAAAGGAAATTTACATATCCGAATTGCCAAGCTTGCCTTCTACGCAAAGGGGAGTCCCATCCGAACACGGGACAAAGTCTTCTATCTTGTATCTTCATAGTTCAACAATCCGGCTAAAGTATATAGTCCGGTTGTCCGAGGACCCCTTAATCCAGGACTCCCTCAGTAGCCCCTGAACCAGGCTTCAATGACGATTGAGTCCGGCGCGCAGATTGTCTTCGGTATTGCAAGACGGGTTCCTTCTCCAAATACTCCAAAGTAGATATTGAACACAAGAATCGTGTCTGGTTCTGCAAAAACAAATTGCACATACCACCATAGAGAGTATAATATTTCAGGAATCTAATCTGCTGACAGTTTATTCACAGCATGACATCACACCACGGCCCGGTCATTATTCGAACTGTTTCATTAGCCTGCCACAACACGATTTACGAGGCAGTTTCATTGGCACGTCTTGTCGAAGCAGAGAT